TGGGCTCCAGGGCCTGGCCCCGCGGCCTTTATGCCTTTGCTTCTCTGCCAGGTCCCGGGGAGTCCGAGAAGGTGCAGCAGCTGGAGGAGCAGGTGCAGAGCCTGACAAAGGAGCTGCAGGGCCTCCGCGGTGTCCTGCAGGGACTGAGCGGGCGCCTGGCGGAGGACGTCCAGAGGGCCGTGGAGACGGCCTTCAACGGCAGGCAGCAGCCGGCGGATGCAGCGGCCCGCCCCGGCGTGCACGAGACCCTCACGGAGATCCAGCAGCAGCTGCAGCTCCTGGACAACCGCGTGTCCACCCATGACCAGGAGCTGGGCCATCTCAACCACCACCACAGCGGCGGGGGCAGTGGTGGCAGGGCCGCGGGCGCAGCCCCAGCCCCGCCTGGCCACAGCGAGGAGCTGCTGCGGGAGCTGGAGCGGCGGCTGCAGGAGTCCTGCTCCGTGTGCCTGGCGGGGCTGGATGACTTCCGCCGGCAGCGGCAGGAGGACCGGGAGCGGCTGCGAGCGCTGGAGAAGCTACTGGCCTCGGTGGAGGAGCGGCAGCGGCAGCTCCCTGGGCAGGCCGCGGGCCGCAGGCCCCTGCAGGAGTGCTGCCCTCCGGAGCTGGGCCGGCGGCTGGCAGAGCTCGAGCGGAGGCTGGATGTCGTGGCGGGCTCAGTGACCGTGCTGAGTGGGCGGCGAGGCACCGAGCTGGGAGGAGCGGCAGGGCAGGGGGGCCACCCCCCGGGCTACACCAGCTTAGCATCCCGCCTCTCACGCCTGGAGGACCAGTTCAACTCCACTCTGGGTCCCTCAGAGGAACAGGCGGAGGGCTGGCCCGGGCGCCCTGGGGGCCTGGGCCACTGGCTGCCTGCCGCCCGGGGCCGCCTCGACAAGCTGGAGGGACTGCTGGCCAACGTGAGCGGAGGGCTGGGTGGGCGGCTGGATCTGCTGGAAGAGCAGGTGGCAGGGGCTGTGCAGGCGTGCGGGCAGCTCTGCTCTGGGGCCCCGGGGGGGCAGGACCCCCGGGCCGGCGAGATCCTCGGTGCCTTGGAGCGCAGGGTGCTAGACGGCGAGGGGCAGCTGCGCCTGCTGGGCTCAGGCCTGCGCGAGGTGGGAGCCGCCGGGGAGGCCCGGCAGGCCGCACTGGAGGAGCTGCAAGGGGTCGTGGGCCAGCTCCAGGGGCGTGTTGACGCGCTGGACGACACGACCGCGGAGCTCGCGCTGCAGCTGAACCTCACGGCGGTGCGGCTGGGCCAGCTGGAGGGCCTCCTGCAGGCCCGTGGGGACGAGGGCTGTGGGGCCTGTGGCGGCGTCCAAGAGGAGCTGGGCCGCCTTCGGGACGGTGTGGAGCGCTGCTCCTGCCCCCTGCTACCCCCGCGGGGCCCTGGGGCCGGCCCCGGTGTTGGGGGACCCAGCCGAGGGCCTCTGGATGGCTTCAGTGTGTTTGGGGGAAGCTCGGGCTCAGCCCTACAGGCCCTGCAAGGAGAGCTCTCGGAAGTTATTCTCACCTTCAGCTCTCTCAATGACTCGCTGCACGAGCTCCAGACCACCGTGGAAGGGCAGGGTGCCGATCTGGCTGACCTGGGGGCCACCAAGGACCGTATCATCTCCGAGATTAACAGGCTGCAACAGGAGGCCACAGAGCATGCTACGGAGAGTGAGGAGCGCTTCCGAGGCCTGGAAGAGGGACAGGCACAGGCTGGCCAGTGCCCCAGTCTAGAGGGGCGATTGGGCCGTCTTGAAGGAGTCTGTGAGCGGCTGGACACCGTGGCCGGGGGACTGCAGGGCCTGCGCGAGGGCCTTTCCCGACACGTGGCTGGGCTCTGGGCTGGGCTACGGGAAACCAACGGCACCAGCCAGACGCAGGCAGCCTTGCTGGAGAAGCTGCTTGGGGGGCAGGCGGGCCTGGGCAGGCGGCTGGGCGCCCTTAACAGCTCCCTGCTGCTCCTGGAGGACCGGCTTCACCAGCTCAGTCTGAAGGACCTCACCGGTGAGGGGGCCCGAGAAGGCATCAGGTGGGAGGTGGGGGGGCGTCCCCTTCCAAGTCCTTTCTTTCTCCTTCCCCTACCCCACAACACCCAGCCTTAACCTCACCCTCTTTCTCCTTGCTCTGCCCAGCATGAATCGCAGACCCAGCACTGTCCCAGGGGTTGATTCGTCCACAAGAGATGACCCATGCTCCCGGCTCCCCACTCTCCCCTGGCAGCTCGGACAGGCCTGTGGGTGGGGGTGGGGTGCTGCGCTGCCAGCCGGCTATCCGGCACGGGCAGCAAGGTGCCCCACTAACCTGTCCGTGGAGCCATGACCTTCCTTGTCCTTTGGAAACTCCTTTTGTGCCTTTCCTTCAACTTGATTTTGTCACTGTAGGGCCCGCAGGTGAGGCCGGGCCCCCAGGGCCTCCTGGGGTACAAGGACCCCCAGGCCCTGCTGGACCTCCAGGACCTCCGGGCAAGGATGGACAAAAGGGGCCCATTGGGCCACCAGGTACGTGGGCTGAGAGGCCTACTGCAGGCAGCGCTGCCTCACTCCTCTGCTGCCTCACTCAGTGCTGCGGCCCTAGGCTCAACATTCTGTTTTGAATTTGACAGAGAAGGGAGGAAAGGGGCAAGGAATCAGGGGTCCTATATGGCTGACCGTGAGTAACTAGGAACTGGGACAGTCACTATATGGGTTAGTTGGCTATGGTGGCCTCACTGCTGTATTGAAGACTAAGGCTGAGCTCACAGGACTACGTAGGGTGTGAAAGCCTGGGGGCTTGTTGTACTAAATGGGCCCTATTCCTCCTTTTCTTTAAAAAAAAACTTTTTTAATGTTTTATTTACTTCTGAGAGAGAGGGAGAGAGACAGCATGAGCAGGGGAGGGGCAGAGAGAGAGGGAGACACAGAATCCGAGACAGGCTCCAGGCTCTGAGCTGGCTGTCAGCACAGAGCCCGACGTGGGGCTCGAACCCACGAACTGTGAGATCATGACCTGAGTCGAAGTCAGACACTCAGCCGACTGAGCCACCCAGGCGCCCATATTCCTCCTTTTCTTGATACCCCCACTCCTGCTTCGGAGTCTGTGTGACACCTAGCACAGCAGAGACACTCAGCCCATGTTTGCTGAGTGACTTAGTGAGAGCTGCCCCCTTCTCACTGCTCCCTCTCCTCTTCCCACAGGTCCCCAAGGAGAGCAGGGTAAGTTCCTCTCATCTGGTGCTGGAGGGAGGGGAACTGAACTAGGGGTTGGAGGATGGAAGGCCTCAGGCAGCCCTGGAGGTAGAGACCCAGGAGGGGAAGGGGGCCCAGGCAGCTCTGCACGGAGCATCCGCTCTGACAACCCCGCCCCTTACCCCTACCCAGGAGTGGAAGGGGCGCCAGCAGCCCCCGTGCCCCGGGTGGCCTTTTCAGCTGCCCTGAGTTTGCCACGGTCTGAACCAGGCACAGTGCCCTTCGACAGAGTCCTGCTCAACGATGGGGACTACTACGATCCCGAGACTGGTAAGCCTGGAAGCTGGCTGGCTGGGCCATGGGGGCCACCAGAGAGGCTGTGCAGTGATCTGTTCTCGTTCTCACCCCCTAAGACGAGGGGAATGTTCTCCAGCTCTGGTTTGGGGAGACCCCCTACTTCCTTCATTTATTCACTCTCACCACAGCTTGGGCCAAGGGATGAGCTGGGGAGGGGAGGAGGGCTTCCATTCAATAGCTCTTTACTGGGGACTTGGGATGCTACAGTGTGTGGGGGGGGTGCAGTGAAGAACCAAACCCCAGATGCCCTGCCCTCCTGGAACTTATATTCCAGTGGAAGACAGGTGGAAAGGCCCAGCAGGTTCCTCCTTAGTCCAGAAGTTCTGGGTGGGCGCCCCGACACCTCCCTGCCCCCTGCCCCCGCCTCCCCTCCTGACCGCGGTCCTTGTTCCCAGGCGTGTTCACGGCACCACTGACCGGGCGCTACTTGCTGAGCGCGGTGCTGACTGGGCACCGGCATGAGAAAGTGGAGGCGGTGCTGTCACGCTCCAACCTGGGCGTGGCCCGCATAGACTCGGGTGGCTATGAGCCTGAAGGCCTGGAGAATAAGCCAATTGCCGAGAGCCAGCCCAGCCCCGGCGCCCTGGGGGTCTTCAGCCTCATCCTGCCGCTGCAGGCTGGAGACACGGTCTGCATCGACCTGGTCATGGGGCAGCTGGCGCACTCCGAGGAACCGCTCACCATCTTCAGCGGAGCCCTGCTCTACGAGGACCTGGAGCCCGGACAGGTGTAGACAGGGGGGCTGGGCCCGACCGGCCCGAAGTGTCTACGCCGGCCGAAGAGCCAGCTGGGGCGGCGGGGCTCCCCGGGCTTCCTGCCTGGGGTGGGGCTCCGTCCTGACACCCCAGCCCCAGGCGAGCCGCCGTCCCTGTTCCCTCTGTGGTACAGGCGCCCAGAGCAATCTCTTCGCCACCGCCTGAGCGCGCCGCGTGGTGGGGGACTCTGGCATCCCTTCGTCCAGACTTTTGTTTTGCTCGCCGTCCCCTGCAGGGCGCGGACTGAGGAGGGGCCGAATCCTCGCACCCTTTGCTCCTCCGGCTGGCCTCTAGGCCGGTGCAGGGCTCTCCCGGGGGTCTCCGGCCCCCACCGCCATACTAAACTATTCAGGAATAAAGACACTTGGTTTTTCTAAAAAACAGAACAAAACGAAACAAACCGTCTGCTCCAGTATGTATTCAAGGGTGGAGAGAAGTACACGGGGGCCGGGGGAGGGAGGTGAAGCCCTACGTTCCGGACCCTGGTCGCCCCTCCTCCTGGGCTCGGTGGCTCTGCGCGCACTTGCTGTGCACGCGCCGGCGGCCGCGGCCAGGCGCTCCTCCCCGGAACGCCAGTTCTGCCGGTGTCCGCCAGGGGGCTCTGGGAGCCGACTCCCGTCACGTGACCGCCGCCGCTCACCTAGAGGCCCCTGCTGCCCCGCGGCGGAGGCGGGGCCTCGCGCTGGGATTGGCTGGACCTCGGGGGCGGGGCGGAGCCGCGGCGGCGGCGCGAGGAAAGGCTGGGGCTGAGGCGGCCAGGCCTCGACTGCGAGGCCCGGCGCTGCCGCGGTCCCGGGTCTGGAGTGGGAGCCGCAGGTGCAGGAGAGCGAGCGGCAAGGGGCGCCTTTCTACTGCACTTGTTTTTTGCAGTCAGGTGATTGCCTAGCTGCAATCTAGAGAGGTTTGCATTAGCTCCGAGTCTGTCTGACAAGTGAGGAAACGAGGCCAAGAAGTGGGGGAGCATTGCGGTCGGCTGGGCCACGCCACCTGCTAAGGGAGGCCGAGGACCAAAGCCTCGGGGGTCTGCGCGCCCAGGCCCGCTCGACTCGGTGGGCCTGGGGAGCAAGGGCCCTGCTCGGTTCCCTCGAGGCTGCAGAAGGCTCTCTGGGGGGAGGAGCTCAGGACGCAGAGGAGGAGCCAAGCCCGCCCCGGGAGCGGGGACCCAGTCCTCTGGGATAAGAAGCAGAGCCCAGGAGGAACCCCGTCAGCCAGGCGGGCAGAAAGCTCCGGGAGCGGCCTCATGGAAGACAAGCAGATCCTGTGCGTGGGGCTAGTGGTGCTGGACATCATCAGTGTGGTGGACAAGTACCCGGAGGAGGACACGGACAGCAGGTAGGGGCGCCCGGGCCCCTCGTCGACCCCAGGGGCCGCTGCAGCCCCGCGTTTGAGCCTGGCAGCCCGGACCCCAGGTCCGCGGGGCCACGGGCCGCGCAGTGAGAGTCCCGCCTCGGCAGCTGGTGTCCCGTGCCCTCCGCCCCGGAGGACCTAAGGGAAAGATCTGAGGCCGTTAGCAATAAGGCCCAGGCTGTGGATAGCACGGTGTTCTCCAATTCCCCTTCCAGGAGTCACATCCACGTTTTACCCATAAGCAAGTAGATGAAGTGATTTAACCAAGGGCGCATAACTAGCAAGGTGCGGGACCAGCTGCTTTCTTTTTAACAAAAAGGCCGATGCGCTTGACTCTCACCAGCACTTACTTCCAATCCATCTACCACGTATATCGCATCTATTTCTTAAACAAGTTGTGAGGCACCTTACAATAAGTATGTGCAGTTAGACCGCGGGAACATTTAAAACCCTGGTAGTTGAGCTTCACTACAGCTTCAAGCGCTTGCTGGCTCCGGAGGCGTATTTGGAAACGCTGCGGGTCGTGGCTAGAGCTGGTTCACGTGCCGTCGCCGTTTCCCTGGCGCTAAATTCCAAAAGGAGTTTGCCAGAAGTCCTTTTTTACAAAATCAGTGAACAGCATCCTTCTTGGTTGTCTGGTAAAAGGTGAAGAGTCGCTGGTTGGCTCCTATATTTACTCTTGATAAGAACCTCACCGTTAATCACTGTAACCCCGAGAGGGCATTCTGTGGGGTGCAGTCTTTGGGTCCACTCAGCCCTGTCACGTGCGCTGTGGCATAAGTTCCTTAGGACAGCCCATGGGAAGCATGGGTCAGCCAGATCCTCTCTTTATAGATGATGAAGCAGCTAAATACGTGGAGAAATTAGATAAGTATCGTAAGGCCACATAGTGAATGAGCGGCAGAGCAGTAATTACACCTGCGAATCTAGCGCTCCAGTCCTCTGTTGTCTGCTGTGCTCCCTCTGCCCGTCTCATGGAGTTGACCCTTTGCTTTGGGCAGCTTTGTTTGCCAGAGGTTAGAGCCCTTGCCAAGGGGGCAGGGTCAGTGGGGTAGGGGCCCAGGTGTATGCTGCTCTGCGGACCTAGCCCACCTACCAGGTCCAGCTGGCCCCAGGATGCAGTGCCCGGTGAGGAGTTAAGACTCCTCCCAAGAGGACAGCATGGATCCCAGGGCCCCAGGTCCTCCCAAGACTGGGCCCAGAGTGCCTGCTTCCCACAAGAGCTGCAGGCCCTTTCCCTTTGAGCTTACTTATGGGAGAGGTAAGGATAAGGAGATTTCCTAGCTCCCATGAGGACGGGCTTATTCTGAAGGTGGGCACAAAGGAGGGCACCTCTCTAAAGAGACCCTTCCCATGTTCCCCATGCCCTCTGCTCTCAGGGTGTGCCCCCTCTCCCCCAGACCCGTAGCTCTGCTCCTCTGTAGAGCAGTGCGGTGGCCCATTTGGCCTGTGTGTGTCATGTGCCTGGCCCACCCAGCCCACCTTCTGGACTCCGTTGTGCCTCCCAGGCGGGCAAGACCAAGTGGGGACCCCGTCCTTCCCCTGCACCTGTCCCAGGCTCTCTGCACTCCACAGGCAGCTGGGACTCTGAGGCACTGCCACCTGGAACTTGGCCAGACCCCAGAGTCCAGGCCAAGAAGAACCTTCCAGAAAGCATCCTCATGCTCAGCAGAGCATTTCTGCACAGGAAGTTGGGTACCAGTGTGACTTGGAACGATTTCCAGAAAGCAAAAGTGTATAGCCTTTCTTTGAAACCTCATCCAAGCTGGGGCCTAGCAACTTTCCATTCAAAAATACGTAGTACATTGCAGTGCTTTGGGGAGTCTGGAAACCTGGGTTCTGATAGCAGCTTTGTCATTAACTATCGGTGTGATCGATCCTGAGCAAGTCAAACCCCACTAGGCTCCCCCTTTCTCATCTGCATGAAAATTTCTCCAAAGCTTATAGCTTGAGTAATGTTTGACCTTTTACAAATTACTTCCTTCCTTTTTTCTTTTTCTTAATGTTTATTTTTAAGAGACAGAGAGCGCGACAGAGTGCGTGTGGGGGAGGGCCAGAGAGAGACACGCACAGAATCTGAAGCGGGCTTTAAGCCCAACATGGGGCTTGAACCCACGGACTGTGAGATCATGACCTGAGGTGAAGTCGGATGCTCAACCGACTGAGCCACCCAGGCGCCCCAATTAGTATCCTTTCCAATGAGATCATGGACTAAGGCTGAAGAGAACTACAGGGTTAAGTTTTGTGTGCCAACATACCTTAGCCTAAAAGTTCTGCTTCATTTACTTCTCTTAATTAGTGGTTCTTATTGTAAGAGGCCACAGTTATTCTTCTTTTTGGAACTGGAAGAATAGAAATAACAGCCTGCACTGTTTACTTCACAGTATTCTCGGAGCACAGTGAGAAACCTCACAGTGCTTTGATCTGCGTAGGTAATCGTTTCTGTTGTTGAGAACAATGAAGTCCTTCAGGTATATCTCCAGGTGGTTTCCTCAGAGTACACCTTGAGTTGGGTTTCCAGCAAAGGTAGAGAAAAACTAAATGAAAAAAAGGTAATTATGTGATGGGATGTTGTGTTCACAAACCTTATGGTAATCATTTTGCAATACATGCGTATATCAAATCACCGTGTACCTTAAACTTACAGAATGTTATATATCAATTATATTTCAGTAAAACTGAGGGAAGAAAAGGGAAACAAAAAAATGGAGGAAAAACTCGTCTTCCTCCAATAATCTTTTTAACTTTTGACCCTGCTTTTTTTTAAGCTGTAAAAAAAATGTTTTCCCTAAGTTTATTTATGTATTTTGAGAGAGACAGAGGCAGCGCAAATGGGGGAGGGGCAGAGAGAAAGGGAGAGAGAGAATCCCAAGCAGGCTTAGCACTGCCAGCGCAGAGCCCGACACAGGGCTTGAACCCATGAAACTACAAGATTGTGACCTGAGCCTAAACCGAAGGCCAGATGTTTACCCGACTGAGCCACTCAGGCTCCCCTTAACCTTCGACATTGTAAGAGTTAGCTTCCCCCGCCACAAACTTCTTGAATTGACTACAGTGTACAGATCTCCCTGTCTTACTTATTTTGACCCGAGTTATTACTGAAGGCTCCCTAAGGACAGGAGCAGGTAACAGATTTGACACCTTTGGGAAGGGGCTCTTGAGTTACCCAGCCATCAAGGTGGAGGCCGAAGGTCCAGCAGCTCTGCCCAGGGGAGAGGTGGGTCACTGTAACCGAGGAGGAGGGCACCCAGTTAGTGGGGCCGTCCTCTGTGACTGCAAATGGAAAGGCCGGTCAAGACGCTTTGCATGTCCCACGGCCCTGGCCCGGGCACCGTGTTCGGCTTTGCTTACCCTGGCAGCAGCCTGCTGGAGCTTCGGGGACCCCCCGTGTGTTTTGCAGGTGCTTGTCCCAGAGATGGCAGCGAGGAGGCAATGCATCCAACTCCTGCACCGTCCTCTCCCTGCTCGGAGCCCCCTGCGCCTTCATGGGCTCGCTGGCCCCCGGCCACATTGCCGAGTGAGTGGAGGAAGGAGCGGACGGCCTGCCCTGTAGAAGGAAGTCTTAACCCTGGGTGGGGTTGGGGGACTGGGGTCCTATAAGAAATGGTTTGTGGCCACCAGAAAGGGGTGGGAGGGTTAAGAGTGGGTGCCAGCATCCTAGGACTCCCCCCAAGCCCCCCCAAGCGCGGGTTCTCTGCTGCTCAGGTGCTAAGACTCTCATATGAAAGCTTTCATTTCCACAGCCTGTTTCCCTGGCCACCACCCGGGGCCTGCTCCGCTTCCCACTTTCTCCTCCCTTGCTTCCAGCAGACTCTGCAACGGACGTGACTTTGCCCTTCTCAAGTCCCTAATCCTGGCCATGCCTGTGGCAGGGGGCAGTTAGGGACATGCTGTCTCAACCTTCCCTCGGGGATGTCCTGCATCCGTGGTCCTAGGGTTCAGGTCCACGGTTTCTTTTCCAGCTGAGGGGGCAGGGCCAGTGCTGTGTCCCCGTTGTTCACTGAAGCAACAAGAACAGCCCGCCCTAGGACACCCTGAAGCCACGCGCTAGCGCTGGGCCCAGACCCAGCCGGGAGGCCGTGGCCCATAGGTGCCCATTTGCTTTCTTTCTCCATGTCGGCTGCTGTGGGGACCCGAGAGCCCTTTGACCCCTGGCACTGCCAGCTCAGCAAATGCTTATCAGGAGGTGAGGCCCACACTTTGCCCACTGTGGGCACTAGGGCAGGCTGCCAGGTTGGTGGCCTGTGAAGCACAGCCCTTTGAACCCTGGTTTCATGGGGGCTGCTGCCAAAGCCCAGCCCCCTGAGCTGCGCCCAGACTCCCTTCTCAGTGAAACGGCACCTAACAACTCAGTGGGTGAGAGCCTGCCCTGTGAGGTGGGACAGGGTGACCTGGAGCCAGTAGCTGGTCACTTGCCAGCCTTCTTCGGTGGCTGTCTTCCTTCTGTTGCTCTAGCGCAGGGTAGGAGACTCGCCTTTATAGAACAATAAGGCTGTTAGGTAGGCCATTCCAAATTCTCCCCATTTGTTCAGCAGCATGTAGTGAGCACCTTCCACGTGCCAGGCACTGAGGGTGCAAAAAATCCTTTGGAAAACCAACCCGTAGTTTGCATGCTTTGGAAGGATCCTACTCTCTAAAGGATCCTTGAGGTGTAAGACGAGGAATAATGCCCCAACTTGATACAAATCTGTATTGTTCGCCAGAGTGAGGCCACGATGGTGGCTGGATTAGTGGTCACGGGACACTTTCCAGGGACGCTGTAGCCAGGAAGCATGGGGCTGCCGCAGTCTCCCCCAGGGTCCGCCTCCCACTCGCTCAGATTGGAGGGGGTTCTGGGTAAGGGTCCTGGGCCTGGCCCACGTCAGGAGCATCAGGCCCTGGGAGCAGCTCACTGCCCGCGGGGTTCCCCGGGCCGCAAGAGGTGAGGGCGGTGAGCGGCCTCACCCAGGCAGCACCGCCTGCTGGCTGGGCATCAGGGAGGCGGCTGTGGGCTGAGTGGAATCCCAGTAGCACTGCCAGGGTCTCCAGAGACCAGAGTACCATGTGGACAAGTGTGTAGAGGGCAACTGGGGAGCAAAGTACCACCTTGGTAATGATTAATTCTGCCTAGGCTCGGCATGAGATGGACCACAGTGCCCTCACCTGCTTTGTTCTAACAGGCTACGTGCCCCGGGCCCCAGAGCTACCCCATCTAGTTTTATGAAGTACATCCTTTGTGGCTTGAGTCAGACTGAAGGACAGGGTTGGGGTCGGAGTTTATACCTCAGCCAGGACCTAAAAGAACGTCCCTTAGTGTTTTTCTCACCGAGTTTCAGGCTTGCTCCCCTGCCTCTCCTGCCCCCTTGCACAGCCTCTAGCCTCGTGCTGATTCCGGATCCCTCCTAGTCCCCTCTGCTTGCAGCCAGGGTCCCTGCAGCCTCCCTCCAGTCCCCAGACCCCTGTCGAACTATCCCTCCCCTGGGTTACTCCGTCTCGGCAGTTTTGTCCTGGATGACCTCCGCCGCTATTCTGTGGACCTACGCTACACAGTCTTTCAGACCACGGGCTCTGTCCCCATCTCCACGGTCATCATCAACGAGGCCAGTGGTAGCCGCACCATCCTCCATGCCTACAGGTTTGTACGCCTGTCTGCAACTTGCCGGCTGCTGCTGCCGCCATCACTGAGCTCCCAGAACAGGACCCTTCTTCTCGAAGAGGCGCACATGCTCCAGCATCCCTCCTCATCCCTGTGGGAGGCCCAGGCCACTTGTAGGCTCTAATCTGTGTCTCCTTGCCCTTCCCTTGGCTCGGGCTCCACCCCAAGCTTCCTGGTGGCTGACTTCAGGCAGCGGGGCGTGGATGTGTCTCAGGTGGCCTGGCAGAGCAGAGGGGAAACCCCGTGCTCTTGCTGCATCGTCAACAACTCCAATGGCTCCCGCACCATTGTGCTCTACGACACGTAAGGCCCCCCTGGCCTCGCCCTGGCACGGCTCACCAATCAGATCCCTTCCTGGCCACCATGGGCATCCCAGCTGCCCACTCTCTGCCGCCTCTCTCTCTGTACCAGAAATTGTCCCTGTGCCAAACCGTTTGGTGATTTCTGAATTGTTTTCAATTAGGGGAGAAGTGAGGTGGGAAGAGATGGGCTTCGTTCCGCCTGGTGACCTGGCCTTGGCCACCACCAACGATGGGTGGGCCAGCCTGCACAAAACATAATTTATGATGTAATTTCTCCGTGATTGGTCAATCAGCAGCCTGGGTGTGGGTGTGGGGAAAATGTTCTGAGGAGAGGGGGATAGGAGGCGTGATTCAAACCATCTGAAGCCCCAAAGGGGACCCACTGGAATTTCTGGGGGTAACCCCAGGGTCGCTAGCCTGCAGCATGGCACGAAGGAGCTGGGTTTGGGTGTTCAGAAGAAATGAACCCCCCCCCCCCCGCCAAAGTGCTTTTCATAATAATGACAACTGACATTTGGGTAGTGTTTTAGCATTTCTGTGTAGGTTTTCGTTCTACCCCCCCCCCCCCCCCCCCCCCGCCTGGTGGCTTCTCCATTTGAGCTGGATGTGCACAGGCCTGTTCGCTGACGTATCTGAGAGAGCACCTTTGGNCCCCCCCCCCCGCCAAAGTCCCGCATGATGAAGCCAGGACAAATGCCACACACAATTCACAGCCATTGCTGAAGCAGAGGGAAGAGGAACACTGGGTCAGCCCACCAGGGCCATCTGATACCATGTTAACTGGGGGGAAGGAATCCCTTTAAAGTCCCAAGCTACTAGGGAGAGACCCTTGTCATTCTCTCCTGAACAATCTCAGACATTTAGCTAAGAACCTAGCATGTGCCAGGTACTCTGTTAGGGCTGAGGTGATCCACACCCGGCAGCCCTGGGGTTCAGGCTGTCCCTACTGCCCAGAATGACTACTGGACCTGGGGAAGAGGGGACAATTATCCTAGGACAAGCTTCGTGGCCAGGAGTCTCTGGGCTCCATGTGTCGCAGTGAATAAGTGAGTGGGCATATGTGTCAGCAATGACCTTCAGCTTGGGCAATCCTAGTCATCTCTCCATTAAGTAGCAATCTGTAGCAACTTTGATCAAGGACACCACGTGGGTATTCACAAGAAGGGAAAGGAGAGGAGTTGTGAGGAGAAACGTTTGTTGCTCTCTGGCCTCAGTGTAGGCAGATCCACACATATTACCTCCAACTGCTGCAGGCTGGCAGGTTTGGACCCATTAGCCAAATGTGGAAGCAGCCTTGGAAAGGCCCAGGTACTCAGCTAGTTAACTGGATGACATCAGCTACAGATCGGGAGGGATATAGGTTAGGTGTAGCTCACTGGTCAAGGTGGACCCTTCACAAAGCTCCCCCACTTAAGCTCCCCCACTAACAAAAACTCATCCTCAAGCACCAACCTTGGCCCCAGGGTTGCAACACAGAGCTGCCGAACTTAGAACGGTGGTGCTGTCATGGCTGGGACGCCAGAAGTGAACGGTAGCCGACCCAGAGCAACCATAGTCTTTGTAGTTCACCAGGGCATTGCATGCTGGGAGCTGTGTGTGCTGCTGGCAAAAGGGAATTCTGGGAATTGTAGTCCCTGGTGCTCTTAGAGTATTCTGGGAGGTGTGGTCTCAAGGCACTCAACTGGCCTCTTGTCACATGCTGCAGTTGAGTTTACCCTTAGATAATGTTACAGCCTCAAACACCCAAAGGGCCTCCTAGCAAACTGCCTCTAATCCCTTGTCTGGATGGAGCTGAGTGGGGCAAGGAGTGGTCAGGAGTTTGGCCGGGAACAGGGCCTATCCTGGAGCTGAGCCTTAGAAGGCTGTGCCGTAGATCCGGTTTCTGGCCATGCTGCAGGCAGCGCCAGGCATAAGGACCCCGGCAGTTAGTTAGAGATCCCGGCCTTGGCTGACGTCACCATCATGCCTTTTCTGTCGTTTCTGTCCTATGACTTAGGAACCTGCCTGATGTATCTGCTGCAGACTTCGATAAGGTTGATCTGACCCGGTTCAAGTGGATCCACATTGAGGCAAGTCCTGCCCTACTTGTGCTTTGAGGGGCTCAACCTGCCAGCCCCTCCTCATATTTTGCCGCCTTCTTAGTTTTTTTGAACCATGAAGTACCTTAGAGATACATGAATCCAAGTCCCCTCATCCCCTCTCCATTCTTCTTTATGATTTCAAGTAGGAAACTAAGGCCCAGAAAGATTGGGTGACTAACTCAAGGTCACATAGCAAGGTGTAGGCACCAGAAACAGGATCCATGCTTTCTGTGTTACAGACTGCCCACCTCCTCTAGACTCTGAGAAGTCCCAAGTTCTAATCCTGGCCTTGTGATTTAATTACTGTAGGTCCTTAAGAAAGTCTCTCTTTTATTCTTTTGTCTCCTCATCTGTGAAATGTGAAATGGGGGGGGGGGCGGGGCGCGCTGGTCAATAAGGTCTCCAAGGTCCGTGACTGCTCTAGAATTTTGAAACTTAGAATGGAGTTCCAGCCCAGCCTCCCCCCTCCACTACCCCGCTGGCCCCACACCCTGCCTCCCCTCACCTAGAATTCCAGCAGGGAGGGAAGAATGAGCCAGATTAGCCAGATCCCAGCTGGTCCTGAGCTGCCCCGCCCGGCCCCCTCCCCCAGGGCCGGAATGCATCGGAGCAGGTGAAGATGCTGCAGCGGATAGACCGGCACAATGCCAGGCAGCCTCCAGGTCAAAAGATCCGAGTGTCCGTGGAAGTGGAGAAGCCCCGAGAGGAGCTGTTCCAGCTGTTTGGCTATGGAGACGTGGTGAGTGGCCCACGCAGCGTCCCCTTGCCACATCCAGCTAACCTGGGCCTTAAGGGGAGCCAAGTGTTCCCTTGTTCTGGAATGGCTTGATGTCATTGGCAGGCAGGGGGCAAAGAGGCAGGTCCCCAGCTTCGGACTCCCGTGCAGGCGCGTAGGTGTGAGAGTAGTCAAAGCAGGGCTACTACAGGCGGCCTCGGAGCACCCTGCGTGGGCGGGAGCACCCTGCGTGGGCGGGAGCACCCTGCGTGGGTGCACCTCCTCCCTGGGCCTCCTCAGTCTTTCCTTCTGTCAAATGAAGGAATAGGACAGATCTCCCAGGTGGGTGGCAGGCTGTGGGGGCCACTGAGGGGTGAGGGAGGATGGGAAGGGGACTTGCGTGGGGTAAGTTTGGGCATTCCTGGGATGGAAATGAAGTCTGAACGACAATCCTGGCATCATAACCTGCACTGGTTGGGCCCCCACCGTGGCTGTACCGAGGTGTGGGTGCCTGAGCCACACCCTGGCTTTTTATCTGGTGGGGGTGGAGCTCAGCTGAGGTATTTTATAACAAAACTCCCTGGAAGTTCTAATGTGTAGCTGGTGTTGAGGAAGCTCTACAACCCCCTGCCCCTTTGTTCTAATAGGCGGAGAAACTAGCCCCCGAGGTCATAGTTGCGTTAGAAAAACAAAACAAAGCAATACGCTCTCGAGAGCCCGAGGTGTAACGTGGCAGTGGTCGCTTTCACCGCAAGATGGCGCTCAAGGCTCGCTGTGGGTTTTCAATTGCAGGCACACCCGTAGCTCTAGATCAAGTAAACCAGGTGGTGGCCACGTTGGAGGAGTGACATTACACTGTGGGGGCAATGCTAGGCTGCTGGTGGTGAGGGACTGAGCCGGGACTAGGGCTGGGGTGACCGTCAGCCTGTCTTCCACTGCCCACAGGTGTTTGTCAGCAAAGATGTGGCCAGGCACTGGGGGTTCCAGTCAGCGGTGGAGGCCCTGAGGGGCTTGTATGGTCACGTGAGGAAAGGGTGAGCAGGGGGAAGCCAGGAAGAGGCCTTAGGAATGGAGAGTGAGTGGGCCTGGACACGGGGCTCTGCCCTGGGTGGGGGGGATGGGGAGGCTGGGGGCCAGGGTGGGCTGACAGCTGGCTGAGTGGAGGGCCTTGCAGGGCTACGCTGGTTTGCGCCTGGGCAGAGGAGGGCGCTGACGCCCTGGGCCCCGATGAACAGCTGCTGCACTCGGATGCTTTCCCTCCGCCCCGGGTGGTGGATACGCTGGGAGCCGGAGACACCTTCAACGCCTCTGTCATATTCAGCCTGGCGCAGGGTGAGTACCCCGGCTGGAGGCCCAGGGCTGAGGCCTGCCTCTGCCCAGAAGACCAGGCTCATGTAGCTATTTGTCCCTCCAGGGAAGACTATGCAGGAGGCCCTGAGTTTTGGCTGCCAGGTGGCCGGCAAGAAGTGTGGCCTGCAGGGCTTTGATGGCATCGTGTGAACGGCCGGTGGCGGCGGGCACTGGCTTACCCCACCCACCTCCTTGGAAGCCGGCATCACCGGCACCATTGCCTTCGTCCCTCCATCCAGCCTGGCATCTGGGCTGCCCTGCTCCCTGGGCAGATGCAGGCCGTGGGAGGGTTCCACCTGTGTCTGCTGTCCCGCTCATGCTGCTGAGCCACAGAGGAAATAAATCTGCCCCTGAGCCACCTTCCTTCTGCCAGTCTGTTTGTCCTTGATGCCTCAACTGCTCTTGCTGGGGATTCCAGAGGCTTTGATACTACAGTTTTCACCCTCTTCTTCTCTATTCTCCAAATTAACCTCCTTGTCCCGAGGCCCAGAGGAGGGGCTGTCTACACCAGAGCAGGGTGGTGGGACTCAGACTAGCCTCCAGCTGTGCCCTTGGTGGTGGCCCAGTGAGTCTGGGAAGGAAGAGCCACAGGAGATGGGTAGAGACCAGGAGCCTTCCTGGCTGGGGGGGACATTTATGCCCTTGTGCCCCAGGGAACCTTCCAAATAATACTCCATTTGAAAATCTCCTTGGGGACCCTGGGCTCTCACGAGACTCCAGTCTTATGGCTCCAGGACAGTCCACACTTCTGAGCCAACCTGACAGGCCAATGGGAGCAGGGAGCCCACTTGGTGGTTTGGTGGTGCCTTCACAATCTAAAAATATCTCCCCCTGAATGTCCCAGAGTCAGAAAGCCCCACCCTTAGAGCTGCCTTGTAGTTAAGGCCAGTTTCAGCCACAAACATGTCCCAGGATAGTGTTGCTATCCCTGAGGGTGACCAGGCCTGAGGGCGTATTGGAATTAGCCTGTTTTAACATGGGAGTTGGGGCAGGGTGTGTGAAGCCCCAGAATGCTAAAGAGCATGGGTTTTGCAGTCTGACACACCTGAATTCAAATCTGCCACTTAACTAGCAGTGTCACCTTGGCTACATTACTGAATTTGGTCTTCCTCAATTTCCTCATCTGTCAAATGGAGCTAATTCTGCCTGGTCATAGAGTTATTGCGAGGGTACAGTCAGACAACATATAAAATGTCCAGCATGATGCCTGGTACGGACCAGGCTCTCAACAAGTGGTAGTTCTTGTTAATGCTTTGGGCTGAGCGCATGCAGGGTGGTGGGGAAGACCTGCTCGGAGCTGCAGGAGGCTGCTGGCTGTGTGAACACCAAGGGAGGGGGAGGAGGGGCGCTTGGGCCCCAGGGAGAGGCTGCACTCTCTTCCCCGGCTTGTCTGAGGCTGGGCTGGCTGTGTCCCAGCACCATCCACGAGCACAGCGAAAGCTGAAGCCCCGCCAAGAGGCCAGGCCAGTCCCCAGCGCCCCGTTTCCCTGAGGTCAGGCATGCGAGACCAGCAGGTAGGCGTCCTGAGTGGGTGAGTTCATTCAGTTCTTTATTGGTGGTCTGGGCCCTTTTAAAGCCACCCCTCAACTTAGGGTCTCCCTGAGCTGCACAGAAAGATCAAGAGGTGGTCCTCATTCCAGCACGTGCGCGCGCGTGTACACACACACACACACACACACACACACACACACACACACACACACACACTCTCACACCCTGGGGCTTATGTTCTGGTACCAAGGCTTCTAAGGATGCAGACGTGTGTCCTCAAGGTTTACATCTCATCATTCTCGAGTTGAACAGCATGAATTTCAACCTCATTTGGGGTGTTCTTCGACTCCGGTGTTTCCCCCGGAAGTCCCTCTGCTTCCCTCCCAGTCTCCCTGGCCTCGGCCTGGCCCACAGCCTCCGCTCCAGGGGATGGGGCTGCTCTTTCAGCCTCTGCCTGTCCCCCAGCCTCTTGTATAGGCTCCAAAGGCTCCCTTCTGGCCTCTCCCTGTCCCCCATCTTCTCCTCTAGGACCCAGGGCTTCCTGCTTTTCTTGTCTCGATGGGCTTTCAGCTAACGGGGACTGCCTCCCAGCATCTTGTGGCCCCAGAGGCTCTTTGAGCTCCATGTGGCTTGGGGCCTCTCCTGGGAAGTTGATGAGCTCTGCAGGGCTCATGAGCCCATCCCCATTCAGGTCCTGGGCCTCGAGCACCTTGTCCACCACCAGGATCACCTGTGGAGGCACACAGTTGCCGTGGAGTCTACAGTGCACAGAGAAGTTCCCAGGAGCCCTGACCCTCCCAACACCCCCCTACATCCTTGCCATGCAGGGCTTTGGGCATTTCTTTTATAGCGCATTCACCAAAGGGGTCATGATGAAAAGACCCAAAGTCCCAAGAAGCTGCGTCTCCTTCGTGGGGAGAAGCCCCCCCCCACCCAGCTGACAGGGCTTACCGGGTTGCCAAGAGGAAAATCAGCAGCTTCAGGGGCCAGAGCTGCGGTCAACATGGACAGCAGCTCCAGGCCATCCAGCTGCCCACTCTGGTCATAGTCGTGGAGGGCAAAGAGGTAGAGGAGAACTAATGGGGAGAAAGAAGCTGGATCAGAAGGGGCCATGGGGACAGGTGGAGGAGGCAGGGGGCCCCTGATGGTCAGGAGTCAGTCCTGGCTCTGCCGCCCTGAGCCCCACCCCACCCCCCACCCACTGGCCCCAGGGCCCAGCCCCTCACCCTGCTCCCGGCTCATGTGTTCCGGCTCCTCTTCCATCTTCTCCAGTCCCTGCAGGTAGTTCTGCAGGAGCCTGCCAGAAAAATGGGCAGTAAGCCCCAGAGAGGCCGGTCCGCAGAGCCCCCCCTTCACCCTCCGCCCCGGGTCCAGCCCACTCACCGAAGCTGCTCCTGGCCTGGCTGGAAGGGGTTGCGCAGGGGCTGCTGCTGCAGGTCAGGATCCAGCCTGGAGGAAGGGGAGAGAGAAGGGCAGGCCTTGCAAAGAGCCTCTCTGTGCATCCAGCCAAGTAGCCTTCCACCCTCAAGCTCTCTGTAGAGTTCTGTCCCCAGACCCGAAGGGCATTGTCCTCTCAAATCCCCAAAGACCTGGTGGGGAGGAGGCCCTTCTGGTCTCGGAAGGAGAACCTTAGTCCCCCAGACTATTTTTTTTTTTTTTTTTTTTTTCAGATTCCTAACTGAGATGTTAAATGAAAACCCAAGTAAAACATCTGGCTAGACAGGCCAGATGAGGCCACACCAAGTAGATACAAGTTGGAGATCCAAGAAAACAGTGAGTGGGTGGACTGTGGTCACCCTTCTACTTTGGTGCCAGGCCCCAGGGGGCAGGTCTCTGGCTCAGTCCCGAGGCCCTGCCCAGTTTTACACAGACCCGATTTGCTCCGCGACACAGGCTGGATTCTCTTTTCCCAGCTGAGGGCATATATGTTGGTTTTGGAATTTCAATCTCCTCAGGGTCTTTCTCAGGCCTTAAAGCTCATGACTCGCTCCCAGCTCTGGACAGGGCTACCCGTTTGCCCAAATCAGTCCAGACCTGTGAAGCCACGTTGCTGGCAGGAGCCGCTGCAGGGGCCTTTGGTGCCGCCGCCAGTCTTGCTGCAGCTCCAGTGTCTGTCCCTCCACCCTACCCGGCACATCCACTGTGTCATATTCATACCAAAACCCTTGAGAAAGATGCTCGCACAAAACAGAAATGCTATGCTAATGACCTCGATGTCTTTGGCGTTCCCACTAAGGGTCTTGATGAGAGGGCCGCAGCCTGTTCCCTGCCCACATGCCACCTCATGCCTCACACCCCATGGGAACGGAGCTCCTGGATCCCAGACGGACTGACCCCAGTGCACATGTCCTGAAAGCCACTCCGCGAGGGGTGCTCTAACCTGCACAGAGGCTGCGGTACCTGGGCAGGGGGCGGGGCTCAGATACAGAGGTGAGGGAGCACCCCCCCATCTCCTGCCTCCCAGGGGGCCCACCACACCCCCTGGTTCCCCAGGGACTCTCTCCGTCCCGGCCCACAGCCCTGCCGTCTGAATCCCGTTACCTCCCGTTACCTCACGATTCCATCCTTGGGAGCGGCCTGAGTCAGGGGCAGCAGCAGCACTAACAGTCTCATTGCCAAAGGTAACATCCTGGAACTGGAACTAGGAACAGAGTTAGGGAGTCAAGGGGAAGGGTGTCTGCCTCAGAGTGGAGGATCGGCGGGTGAGGCAGGGGCACCTTCTCTCCCTGCCCCCACCTGCAACCCAGGTAACAGGACTCCTGCTTGGGGCAGACGCAAAGATGTCAGGGATCCCCTGTGGGATTCATTCAAAGTGAATCTCACCCCTGACCCCGTGTGGAAGGCGCCTGAAGCAGAGCAGCTGTGGGGGAAGCAGCAATTAGGGCAAGAGCCCCTCCCCACACCCAGCTCCCTCTCCCGCACCAGCCCCTGGGGTGCTCGGAGAAGTGGAATTTAAGTACATCTAATCTAGTCCAGTCACTCATTTTGCAGATGGAAACTAGCTCAGAGAGGTTAAGAAAAAGGCCAAATCAGAAAAGCAGAGGGATACAAAAAGACCAAGACTCACACAGAGGAAGATGGTTAGTGTGTATTTATTAAAACTCACCCAAGAACAAATCAGTAAAGGCTCAGTCTCCCTGCCACAGATCTAAACTCATGTAGGGACTGAAGTAAATCAGGGTCAAACCAACAGTGGCCCCAGGAACTATTTACTAAATGCAGTTAGGAAATACCAATATAAAGGAAAAAACCGAAACTTCCCTTTAGACCTACATTGTGTAAGCCCACTGGCAACCCAATTACTTGGTTATATGAAAACAGTCAAATAGAGGAAGGATCCATCAAAAGCACAGAACATGAAGCTTTCTGATGAGTCCCAGGTGTGTGTATACGTCATATGAATTTCTGAGGAAGCACACACTCACTGCAGCTGAGGCCTGAGACCCTATCCCCACCTCTAGGAAGACAAATCACCTGGGCCAGAGGACCAGGAACCCTCTGAACCCCTCTGACTCCTTTGAAACGCTATTCTGGCTGGCACTGGATTTTCCTGGAGAAACGTTTCTAGCTTTCATCAGATTCTCAAAGCACTCCATGATTCTAATGAGGTTCAGAAGCACTGCAAGGTTGGACATCAACTTCCTAAGAGACGTGGGGTAGAGCAGGTGGGCATCTGGCCAATGGGGAGGTACTTGTGGGGAGCCTGGCTGGAGCCTTACAAGCAGAGCTGCCTTGAGGAAGAAGCAGCAAAACATGGAAGTCTACTAGAAGGTAAAGCAACTGAGAGGCATAGAAACGGTCTTTAGTTTTCTCGGCACACATGGCCCCTACCAGTATCGGGAGGCTGCATAGTTTATTGGTGTCCATAATCCCCAGTGGCCACATACGAATGCTGGCTGGCAACACGAACCCTTGAGCTTTCTTGTTGTGCCCCAAAGAGAAGACAAGTCTTGGGCCCATCCAAGGGAGGCAGTGGGAACTGAGATCTCCATATCACCTGGGGGCCCTCAGGGGTCCAGATACATCTCAGTGAAAGGGTGGTCTGGAAAGATATCCAGACCTCCATGTCTGAGAATATGACAGTAAATGTTCCAAAGAAAGTAACTCCAAAGCTGGATAAAAATAGAAAGTATTTTTCCAAATGCATCGAGTTGGCAAGAAAGTAAGAAATTCTGAGTGCATAAGTCCATTGAAAATGATAATCCTGGAGGGAAAGTGAGCTTGAAATCAGCTTTGCCAAACCAATTCCGGGTGAATTTGTACTATCAATCTGAGTGCTTTGTGCAACAGAGGAGCCCAGAGATAAGACCTGGACCCACACGGTGTGAGGACACTAATAGGAGATTCCCTGCGTAGTTGGGATTCAAACAGCCTGACTCCATCTAAGGGTGAACAGAAATTAAGTGTGTCACAAAGAAGGGCAGCACAAATCTTGCCAGTCTTGACCTTGGTGCTGGGTAGAAGGGATAAAGTCTTCCCTGAGAATTTGTAACAAGCCTGCTTTAATGTGGGTTCAAGGCCTGAATTAATGCTATCTCTGTGGTTCAAAAACCTAAAGGAGATCATTTATATTTTAAGTGGTAACTGGATGATAGTACCTCCAGTTGACTAACAGAGGAAATTATTTTTGTCCATGAAACACAGCTCCAATCCCAGCCTCAAAGAAATTCCAGTGGTAGAGTATCAATGAGCATGACCTTACAGCCAGAAAGTCATAAGCATACAAGGAAATAAGACACTGTGAATGAGAGCCAGCTAACCGATAGTGGGTGAAACCAGACTTGCAAAAATTAAAGACATTGGAATAGTCATACAGAGAATATAAAGTATATTTAATATGTTTCAAGAAATCAAAGAGAAGTTTGAAACTATGTGAAAGGAATATGAACATAAGAATGACCAAGAAGATTTGAAGAAGAACCAAACATAACTTACAGAAATATAAAGAAAAGATGATTTTAAAATGCAGTGAGTGGGGTGCCTGCATGGCTCAGTCAGTTAAGCGTCTGACTTCAGCTCAGGTCATGATCTCACGGTTCATGAGTTTGAACCTCACCATCAGGCTCTGTGCTGACAGCTCAGATTCTGAGTCTCTCCCTGTGTCTCTTTCTCTGCCCCTCCCCCACCTGCACTCTCTTTCAAAATAAATAAATTTTAAAACAAGCAGTCAGAAAGAAAAGGTAAATCCCCAAAAGGAAGAATAATTAGACTGACAGCTGATTTCTCAACAGCAAGAGTGATGCCACATTACAGTAGTAGTTTAATACATTGAAAAAGACATGTGGGGGGGGAAGATTGCCATTTTAGAATTCTAGCCTCAGCAAAATTATCTTTCAAGAATGAGGTGAAGTAAAAACAATTTCAATAAACAACAAATTAGAGAATATGCCACTAACATTGCTCCAGTAAAGGAAATTGTAAGGGATCTGTTTCAGGAAAAAGGAAAGTGATCCCAGAAGGATTTGAAATGCAGAGGAAAATGGTGAGCAGAAAAGAAATCAGAAAGTATTTGGGAAAATATAAACAAACATAGACTGACAACTATGTTAATATAGGGGGCAGAAAAGGTGGTGTGAGCTACAATATTGGACAACATTAAGATGTAAGGTAAGGATGGCTGTTTGGGAAGAGAGTAGACATACTGAGCAACTTTGTTAAATATGCATGTAAAAGTTTTCAGGATAACCACTAAAAAAATAGAAATGGAATGTATGACCTCAAACCACCAGAGGAAAAAATGAATGGAGTTTTTTAAAAAATCAATTCAAAGAAAGGCAATAAAAGAGAAACAAGAAACTAAAAATATTAAAAAGGAAGGCAAGTAGAGGGATGCCTGGGTAGCTCAGTCAGTTAAGCATCCAACTCTTGATTTCAGCTCAGGTCATGATCTCACAGTCTTGAGATTGAGCCCAGTGTTGGGATCAGTGCTGGGCATGGAGCCTGCTTAGGATTCTCTCTCCCTCTGTCCCTCCCCTGCTTGCACACACATCAGCATTCTACCAAAAAAAAAAAAAAAAAAAAAAAGGAAGACAAATAGAAAGTATAAAAAATAAGACGACAAAAATATATCTAAGTTTATCAGTAGTCATAACTATAAATTATTTAACTTCATCAGTTAAGAAATAGAAATAATCAAAATCCATACAAAACAAAACATAGTTATACGCAATTATCAGGAGATAAACCTAAAAAGTAAAGACACAGGTTGAAAGGAAAAGGATGGAAGAAGGATATAAAAAAACAAACATATTTAAAAGAATGTCATTACAAAATTCATAAAAATTGAATCCCATAGGAGGATAACATAATTCTGAATTTGTACTTGTCTAATAACATAACCTCAGAACCTCTAAAATAAAAACTGGCATAACACGACACACCTATTAGAATGGCCAAAATCCAGAACACTGACAACACCAAATACTGGCGAGGATGTGAGGCAGCAGGAACGGTCATTCATGGCTGGGGGAATCCAAAATGGCGCAGCCACTTTGGAAGCCGCTTGGGCAGTTTCGTATAAAGCGAACTATATTCTCACCATACAATCTAGCAATCGCACTCCTTCATATTTACTGAAAGGAGCTGAAAAATTATGTCCACGCAAAAGCCTGCACACAGATGTTTATAGAAGCTTTATTCATAATTGCTAAAGCTTGAAAGCAAACAAGATAGCCTTCAGTAGGTGGATGGAGAAATAAATTGTGGTCTATCCAGACAATAGACTATTATTTAGGGCTAAAAAGAAATGAGCTATGAAGCCATGAAAAGACCCAGAGGAACTTAAGTGAGTATTACTAAGTGAAAGAAGCCAATCTGAAAGGCTGTGCACTATATGATTCTGACTATATGACATTCTGGAAAAGGCTAAATTGTGGAGTCAGTCAAACCATCACTGGTTACTAGGGGCTGGGGTGGGAGGGATGAAAAGGAGGAGCACAGAAAATATTCAGGGCAGTGAAACTACTCTCTGTGACACTATAATGATGGAGACATGTCATTACACATGTGTCCAAACCCACAGAATGCATACCACCAAGAGTGAACCCTAATGTAAACTATGGACTTTGAGTGGTGATATGTCCATACAGGCTCATGCATCATAAAAAGTGTATCCTCTGGTCTGGAATGTTGATAATGAGGGAGTTGTGCATGTGGGGATGGGGGAGGGGAGGTATACAGGAAATCTCTATACTTCCCTCTCAATTTTGCTATGAACCTAAAACTACACTAAAAAAAAAAAAAAAAAGTCTTAAAAAAAAAACAGGCAGAACTACAAGAAGAAAAGTCTAATCTGCCATCATGGTGGAGAATTTAACATACCTCATTTAGTATTTGAAAGATTAAGCAGACTAACATTAGTAAGAATGTAGAAGGTTAAATAAACCATTTAATGTGCCTGAGTTAAATGAACACACGAGAGGGGCCCCTGGGTGGCTCAGTTGGTTAAGCGTCTGACTTTGGCTCAGGTCACCTATGGTTCGTGGGTTTGAGCCCCGTGTCAGGCTCTGTGCTGACAGCTAGCTCAGAGCCTGGAGCCTGCTTCAGATTCTGTATCTCCCTCTTTCTCTGACCCTCCCCTGCTCACGCTGCCTCTCTCTCTCTCATAAATAAATAAAAACATTAAAAAAAATAAATGAATAC